CCAGCAACAGAATCGCCTAAGCCAGAAAGGACCTGTGCCCTACAGGTCAAAAGAGAGACACCATAGTCATGGTCTGTAGAGGGTTTCTCTCCAGTGCCCATACTTTTTCTCTGTCTTTGTGCAGATGCTGCCGGTTGCCTTTCCAACTGCCAGGTCCCTTTCTTCATAGCTAACAAAAACCATAGTTTAATTCTGATAGCCACACTCCCAGAACCCATGGATGCATCACATTTGGACAAAGCTGTCGAGGCAGAAGCTCTCTGGACAAGTGACTAGTCTAGAGGTGGGCAATGTGATCCAGCTTTGGTGAGTAAGATGCACAAGGAGGAAGCGGAGAGGAACTGCGTCAAGGGGAATAAAAAGGGATTGCTGGCGCCGGGCGGTGGTGGCGCACGCCTTTAATCCCAGCACTCGGGAGGCAGAGGCAGGAGGATCTCTGTGAGTTCGAGGCCAGCCTGGTCTCCAAAGCGAGTTCCAGGAAAGGCGCAAAGCTACACAGAGAAACCCTGTCTCGAAAAACCAAAAAAAAAAAAAAAGGGATTGCTGGATAAACGCAGCCTTGTGAGAAGAAAGTGCTTTTGTTCCCGACCCACTTTCCTACCTTGGACGTGGTTAGGTGTGGATGTTGTGGTTGGAGTTATGGTTCCTTGGACTTGAATCAAGGTGATAGCTCTAGGGCAAAAAGCAATTTTCCCAGGTGATTGGCGGCTCTGATGCCATGGCACAGTGGAAATAGAAGAAGCTTAAGTCCTTGATGATTATGTTGGGTGAGTCAAAGTGTCACACCTGGACCTGCCTACCTCTGGACTACGGCTGTGAGATGATCAGTTGTCCTTACTATTTAAACACTACGGGTGGAGTTGTTTGATACTTGCTACCAAAAGTATTTCTAACTACTAGTCCATAAAAATCAGGTCATAGGTCAGGGGTGGTGGCACATATCTATAATTCCAGCCCAGAAATGTGGGAAAGGGGAGGACCCAGAGTTCAAGAGAAGCCTTGGCTAAGGAATGAGTTTGAAGAGAGCATGGACTACTTGTGACACTGTTTCAAAGGTGAAGGAGGAAGAGTTGGAGGAAGAGAAAAGGAAAGGAAAGAAGAAAGAAAAGGACGGGAAAACAACTCAGCTGTTAAAACACTTGCCTTTGCAAGCACAAGGACCGGAGTTTGATTCTAGAACCCAGGAAGAATGCCAGGAGTGGCAGCACTTGCTTTTTTTTGTTTGTTTATTTGTTTGTTTGTTTGTTTTTTCTAGACAGGGTCTCTCTATGTAGTCCCGGATGTCCTGAAACTTGCTCAGTAGACCAGGCTGGCCTCAAATTCACAGAGATGTCTCTGCCTCTGCCTCTGCTCCTCTGCCTCTGTCCCTCTGTCTCCATCCCTCTGCCTCTGCCCCTCTGCCTCAGCCTCTGCCTCTGCCTCTGCCTCCACCTCTGCCTGGATTAAAGGTATGCACCACCACAGCACATTCTCGAAATCCCAATGCTAGGGAGGTGGAGACAGAAGGAACCCTGGGGCTTTATGGCCAGTCAGTCTTACCTAATTGATGAGCTTGGTGAGCTCCTAGTCTATTAGAGACTCTGTAAAAGGAGGTGGACAGTATTTCTGAAGTCCTCTGGCCTTATCACACATGTGTGCATGCATACTCACATATATATAGACTCACACAAGCATATACATTATTTAATATCAGAGCAGAGCAATGTTAGCTAGCTTATTCTTGAATAAAAGCCTGGGAAGTAGATGTCAATAAAATGAATAAACTAGCAAAGCATATATATTCATAGAAATGAGACCCCTTCCATGCCACCAGGCAGAGACCTGGAGACAAAGTTATACAAAGTAATTTGAGAAGTGACATCTTTACACAATACATTCTTCCTTTTTAAGGAAGATGATGTATTTCTCTGCTATTTAAATCTTTTCTGTCCCTAAATTACTTTTTTAAAAATTTGTTTATATGTATGAGTATTTTTGCCTGCATATATGTATGTATACTATTTGCATGCCCAGTGCCTGCAGAGGCCAGAAAAGGATAACAGAGCCCCTGGTACTGGAGTTCCAGGTAGTTGTGAATCAATGCGGTGCTGGGAACAAACCTGGGTCTTCTTCAAGAGTAGCAAGTGCTCTCAACCTCTGCGCCTCCTCTAGCTCCATTTACTATTCAAGCAACAGTATAAGCTCTATTTAGTCCTTATTAAATTTGTTCTCAGTATTTCATGCTTGGGGCTATTATCTCTTTCAAAATGGCAGGGTTCCCTACAGATCTGTTTTCTTTTCATTCCACAATATCCTAAAAAAAAAAAAAAAAAAAAACAAAAAAAAAAAAAAAAAAAAAAAAAACAAAAAAAACACACTTTGACTGCTCTGCCCCAACTCCAATTTCAAACTGCCCCTTTTCCACTCTGGCAAACAACAACCACACTTAACCTCCCATGTTTGTGGGCCTTTGCTTGGACTGGTTTCTGGAGGTTATCCAACCTTGATGAACAAGAAAAAGAAAAGGTAACATTTGGAATCTAGCAAGCTTGAGGTTAAAACATGTCATGTCAGCAATCGCTAAACAACAGTACATCAGATTAGGTCAAGAATTTGTGAAATGTTTGTGCCAAGTGAAATGTCAAAGCACAGAGTGTGTCAAAGGGGGAGAAAAGCCTCTGTGTCAGTCAAAATGTCACTCTGTCCTGCAGCAAGTCATTTATTCCTTTCTGTCTTTCTCGTCCTTCTTGTTCCACATGTACTAATGTTGCCTCTGAATAATTGAAATTAATAGTGGCATTATCGGTGGCTTAGGGTAAAAACTAAAGAGCTAATTTAAAATCACTCAGTCAATTTGAACTCATTTTGAAAATGGAAATTGTTAACCCAGCCTTAAAAATAAGCCATTACCTGATTGTCCAAAACGTTTCTACCGCTGCAGTTTTTTTTTTTTTTTGGTTTTTCGAGACAGGGTTTCTCTGTGTAGCTTTGCGCCTTTCCTGGGACTCACTTGGTAGCCCAGGCTGGCCTCGAACTCACAGAGATCCGCCTGGCTCTGCCTCCCGAGTGCTGGGATTAAAGGCGTGCGCCACCACCGCCCGGCTTTACCGCTGCAGTTTATTTGTTCTGTTAATTTTTGTAATATGTATAGAAAAGGCACAGAAGAAGAGAGAAAAGAATGGACACATTTTTCAAATGCTGGACCCAAGGAAATTAGAAACATGATGGAAAAGTTAAGCATAGGCTTGACAGGTCCAGGTAGCCCTCAATAAATGACGTTCCAATGGATCATTGAGTTAATTATGAAGCAAAACTCCATAATGTTCATCCCCATTTTCCCACTGATTTTAATTTCTAAGCTAACAGAGCTTTCCAGAAAATGGCTCCTCTCCCTGCCACTTGGTTTCTCCTAAAGCAGCTGTCTGTTGCATAGGCATGGCCAAAAAACGGGAAAGAGGTCCTGCTCTTAATGCTACAGTTGCCTGGTTAGTAAACTAAAAGATTTCTTGGTAGACATCAGGGTAAGTGCTAGGATAAGGCTAGCTGGACCCCAGAGCACCAACATTTAAGGAAGAGCCCTCCCTCTTGGGGCTGCCCCAGCAGCTGCATGAACCTAAATATTGGTGTTTCCATAAACGTTGCCTGACCAGCATCTCGCTAGCTCCATTCTGGTCCTGGCCAGTCATTATTGATACCAGTAGAATTGGAAAAAGACAGCTGGGCAGGGTGGTGGCACACGCCTTGAATCCCAGCACTTGGGAGGCAGAGCCAGGCAGATCTCTGTGAGTTCAAGACCAGCCTGGTCTACAGAGTGAGTTCCAGGATAGGCACTAAAACTACACAGAGAAAACCTGTCTCAAAAAAAAAAAAAAGAATACCTCTATGAATCTGATCCTAAACTGGGTTCCTAGCCAATTATACTAATATCAACATTAGAACTTTCACAATAAAAATTTCTCTATTTGCTAAGATAAATTCTAATGGTCCAAAATGGAGTTGACAATTGGAAAAATCAAGGGACTTCCCTGTTCTGGTTTGGGCTTCAATTTTTCATTTGAAGCTCCACTTCATCAATACAGAGATGGCCGCACTGAGGAAAATTCAACAAGAGAATCACAAATAATCTAGAATTCCAACTGCTAAAAAATGAATATATAAAAGTTATAGATACTTTCCAGTAGTGACGTCTTTCTCATCAGTCTTAAGGATAGTCTTCTCAGTGTCAGAATACCTAAGACAGAGTGCAAACTAGAATATTCCTGTGTATCCACCACTCAGCAAATATAGACTGTACGCCTACCATGTTTCCAGCAAACCCTGTGGGATCCTTCAAGAGAATTCTAGGGATAGGGATATGGCTTGATGTGCAAAATGTTTGTGGTACAGGCATGCACAAGCTGGGTCCTTAGCAGCACTTAGAGCAGTGCAGCAGTGAACACCTCTAATCCTTGCACTGGGGAGGTGAAAACAGGTAGATCCTAGGGGCTTGCTTGCTGGCCAGCCAGTATAGGCAACAGTGAACTCCAGACTCAGTGAGAGATCCTGCAACAAAAATCATATACGGCAGAGGACAGGCAAGATGGCTCTGTGGGTAAAGGTTCATACTGCCAAGCCTGACAACCTGAGTTCCATCCCTGGGACCCACAAGGAGAGAACCAACTCCTCTTGAAGTTGTCCTCTGATATCCACATACATGGATGCATGTATGCCCTTGTTCATGAGCACACATATAATAATAATAATAATAATAATAATAATAATAAATAAATTTAACTTTTATTTTTTAAATAAAGTGAGTGATAGTGAAAGATACCCAACATTGACCTCTATCTAGCTGATGAAATGCTGCATGTATGTGCCCATGGACCCCCCACCCTATAGACACAGAGGTGAGGACATCTTCACACATATATATAACACACCAAAAAAAAAATTAAAAAGAAAGAAAAAAAGGGTTCTAAACTCAATCCTTTCCATCACATGCACAGCAACCATCTAGTTCAGGCACGACTTTCTCATACCTGAATAAATGAAACTTGTCTCTCTGCTTCTGCTCTTGACTCCCTGAAGTAGGTTCTTCAGCCAGCAGTCAGCCTGACCCCTCTGGAACAGAAAGTCAGGACACGATGTACCTCTACTCAAAGCCTACAACTGACTTCCTGCATGTCAGGGAAAACAATCTCAAACCCATCCTTTGAGTGCTAAGGCTATGTGATCACACCCACACCTCATTTACAATATTTCTCCCTTCTCTTTCCTCCCTCCAAATTCTCCAGATACTCCTCCCCACTCTCCTTCAAATCCATGGCCTCTTTTTTCACTAACTGTTATTGCATTCATAGATGCATAATGTGTTCTGTCCATATAATGCTACCTGTATGTATGTTCTCAGGGTTGATTGTTTGGCACACCAGTGTGCTCTTCCCTGGAGAAGGCCACCTCTCCCATTCCCAACTTTCCTTAGTTGCCTGTAGTTCTTTGTGTAGGACTGAGGCCTCATGGGCTTTTCTCTATCCTGTCTGACGTGTTCAGTGATGTCATCCTTGTTCAGCTCATGTGTGGGCAATGGTGTTGGTGAGAGATTTTGAGTGTAGTCTCTGATGTTACTAGGAGACACAATCTTACAGCAAACTCTTTGATCCTCTGGCTCTTACCTTTCTGCCCCATCTTTGACAGTGTTCCCTGAGCCTTAGGTGGGGGTAGGGTGTTCTGAAGATGTATCCACTGGGACTGGGCTCCACAATTCTGCATTTTAATTGGTTGTGTTTTCCTGTAATGGTCTCCATCTGTTGCAAAGAGAAGTTTCCCTGATGAGAGGTGAAGACTGCATTTGCATATGGGTATAAGGACAACTGTCCATTGTAGATGTAACCAACCTTCTTATTAAATAAGAAACACAGAACCAATGCAAAGAAGAAAGCCAAGAGGTCAGAGCTAAGAGCTAAAACCTTACTCTTCCTCCTGCGGTGGTCCTACCTCTCCGAACCAGAGCTACTTTCTGTGTTAAAGTCTTTATATATAGTTTCTGTTCTGCCTTCTCATTGGTTGTAAACCTAACCACATGACCGCCTCATCACAGCCTGTCTGTATAGGCCTCCAGGTTTTCTATGATTGGTATTGAGATTAAAGGCATGTGTATCCAATACTGGCTGTATCCGTGAACACACAGAGACTTACCTAGCTCTGCCTCCAAGTGCTGGGATTATAAGCATACGCCACCACTGCCCTGCTTTCCTATAGCTTGCTAATAGCTCTGACCCCGGGGCAACTTTATTTATTAACATACAAATAACATTTTAATACAAATAAAATATCACCATAGTCCATAGATTGTTCTTACAGATTATACTAGTTTAGTAAATTAGTAGTTGTAATTCTCCTTCAAAAACCAAGACTTTACTAGTAGTTAGCTGAGTTTCCAGTACCAACCATGGGCTCCCTCTTGTTGAGCGGGTGTTAAGTTCAATTAAAGAGCTGTTGGTTACTGCCAAGGTATGCTTGTCACCATTACAACCACAGGATTACCCTGTCATGCTGATTGTTGATGTGGTTCATAGGCATCATGTCTCAGTAGGACTGTTAGCTACCTCCTTCTCCTTTGGAAGCTTGCATGGCATCTTCTGATACCACGAAAGCTAGTTCTCATGGAGGGTTTGTTCAGGTCAGTTCCTTCTCAAGGGTCTCTGAGTCCTGTTTCTGAAGGTCATGGTGTCTTCATTATTTTTCTTTAATCATCTGGCAAGTTTTCCATTTTGTCCTAGAAGAATTGAAGCTCAGTGACATTTTTACCATGTTTTACTTATTACTATTTTCCAGCACCTACAGCACTGCCTATGCATATTGGTTGAATTAAGTGGTAGAACATGTAGGTCATGTATTAATTCTGGTCACTATAGGAGACGATGCTCTTATGTCACAAGATTTTTCCCTTGACTAGACAAGAGTATTTCAGGACTCTTGCCCTCCCTTTGCTTTCCAGTTGAACAGATGAGGTACATGAGAGAAACAGAGAGCTTCAGATGGAAACAAGATTTTTTTTTTTTTTTTTTTTTTTTTTTTTTGGTTTTTCGAGACAGGGTTTCTCTGTGTAGCTTTGCGCCTTTCCTGGGACTCACTTGGTAGCCCAGGCTGGCCTCGAACTCACAGAGATCCGCCTGCCTCTGCCTCCCGAGTGCTGGGATTAAAGGCGTGCGCCACCACCGCCCGGCGGAAACAAGATTTTTTAAATTGTTTTATTGTTATTATCTTTAATGATGTGTACACTGGGGGGGGGGTATGTGCATGAGTGAGTGCAAGTACCCACAGAGTTCAGAAGAGAATGTTAGATCTCCTGGAGTTGGGGTTCCATGGGGATGTAAGCCACCCAACATGGGTGCTGAGAACTGAACTCAGGTTCTAAGCAAAAGCAGCACCTGCTCTTAATGGCTGAACCATCTCTGCAGCCCCTTCAAGATTTTCACCATGAGTAAACAGAAGACTAGAATTGTGTTTATTGAGCCTATGGTGCAGCTATTTCCTCCAGGTTGAACATGACTTCTATGGTCTTGAATCAGAACGTCCATGATCATCCACACAATATTAGACCTGTTTACCTTCCCTCTTGGAGGGAGGGGGCAGGCTCATGAGCCTTTGGGAGATGCTCACAAGGCCCTTTACTCTCCATAGTTATTAAGAAGTAAACGATTTACTAGTGTAAGACACTTCAATAGTATGGATGCTCATAAGTTACAAGGACTCTTCAGTGGTACAGCTTTCATATGTCTTATGTAACAAGGGCAGGACTCTTCAGTGGTATAACTACCTAGAGGTCTCATAAGGGACTTTCAGATAATATACCTTCCTTTTTTCATCAGTCTTCTTACAAGTAACCCCAATAAACTCATTGGTTTATCAAAGGGGATTTGGATGAAATAATTTCTTTGGTCTGTCAGTGTCCTCTGTCTGAAGTGACTAGTTATTTTTATGTCTCTTCAGGAAAAATCATGAGGTAGGGCCACATATCAATATGGGAGGGGTAGACTTGAGGGAACTGAAAATTAACAGTCTATTTTGGCATAAAAGTTTAATGCCTGGTATATATCCAGGTAGAGATATCCAGGAGGATGTTGGATATGAGTATCTATAGTTCAGAGAAAGTGTATAGAAGAAAGTTAAAGTCATGGAACTAAACACGATCCCCTGGAGATGAGTGTAGACGGAGTGCTGAGGTCTAGCCCCTGAGCAGGCCAGCATTTAGAAGTCGGGGAGATGAAAAAACATCAGTGACGCACTGCTACAAAGGAAGGCAAAAAAAGACACAGTGGTTGAAGGAAAATAGGAGGCTGGAAGAATATCTCAAATATGAGACGTGGTATAGTACATTTGATGAAAGGGAAACAACCCACTGAGAGAGGGGGAAGTAACAGTGCAGAGGAGAGCCACTGCAGAAGTGGAACTCTAGAGTGGACAGGAGGAGCTGGGAGCAGAGCGGAGGCTGACGCTGAGCCTGGACAACCAGACAGTTCACCCACCACAGTCTGCACACCAGTCAGGGAAGGTGGTTGACAGAGGAGTAGAGTGTTGAGGGAAATCTCTTCTGGTTGCTTCTATTTTCTTAAGCAACATACTGGACCAAAAGTCTTAGTGGAAATCTTAAGGAATACCTAGAGAATCAGGTGTTCTGAGGATGATGCTGGGTAAAAGTTAGACGGTGAGAGGTTTGAAATGTGATCTAGGGTGTTCAGGAGGAGGGTAATGCCTTGAGTTCTTACTGAAATGACTAGGAGCTGGGTGGTGGTGGCGCACACCTTTAATCCCAGCACTCAGGAGGCAGAACCAGGTGGATCTCTGTGAGTTTGAGGCCAGCCTGGTCTACAGAGTGAGATCCAGGACAGGCAACAAAGCTACACAGAGAAACCCTGTCTCAAAAAAACAAAACAAAACAAAAAAGAAATGACTAGGTTGGAGGCTCCATGGTAGGAATAGGGAGTGAGGTAGGGATGGAGACAGAACCACACAAGTGGCTAGAAAGGGTTAGGATTATATGGTCTTTTTCAATGTAATATAGTTGTGATTAATGGCTTTAATTAATGTTTACTGAGTGACTCCTGGATATCATGAAGCCTCTATAATAACCTCAAGGACTGGGCTAGAGAGATGGCTCAGCAGTTAAGAGCACTTGCTGCTCTTCCAGAGAACCTGAGTTTCATTCCAAGAACCAAAAACCTACTTCAGGTAGCTCACCTATAACTCTAGCTCCAGAAAGATCCAGGAAGCCTCTGGCCTCTGGCCTCTAAGATATTCTCTCTCTCTCTCTCTCTCTCTCTCTCTCTCTCTCTCTCTCTCTCTCTCTCTCTCTCTCTCTCCCTCCCTCCCTCTCCCTCTCCCTCCCTCTCCCTCCCTCCCTCTCTCACCTTCCCCCCACACTCATAACTAAAAATAAAATACATCTTTAAAAATTAACCTCAACAACTGGAGACTGTCTTATTTCATCTCCATCACATATGACAAAAAGGGGGATCCCAGAGCTGGTTTCAATGACAGCAATGGATTCAGGATTCAAACTCAAGTCTCATGATCTCCAAACTAGGCTCTTTCTCCGGGGCCTGTACCATTCTTTTCAGCTGAATCACCGTCAAGTTTTCACCCACGGCTTCACAGACACTGTCTGGTTTAACCAGGAAGCCTTAAGTTTCAACTTTCATTGTTTAAGCCTGAGACAGAAGTCTCATTCTGTGGCCAGAGGCTATAGTCTCCTGGGGGAATAAGCCTCTTCTTCCTCTTCTAGGCTAATGTCCCTTTGCAGGCTTAAAAACCAACACAATGTGGCAAGTCCTACAGCCTCCGTCTGTTGGCTTTGTTTGCTCCAGGGGATAGCCTTACTGGCCTGCTCCAGTAGCTAGCTTTGCCTTGCTAGAGCAACCTTCCTTGGGAAAGCTTACAGTCCAGACCAGAGAACGTATTGGTCATTCATCATGCTGTGACTCTTCTTCCATTTAAGTAAAAAAGCAAGACCTAATACCCTGTCACTGTTTTTCCCAGAATGCTCTACTCTAAGACCAGAGCTTTCTCTCTCCGAGAGATGATTTATGCAAGTGACACAAGAAGAAAAATAGAGGCATAAACGTTTCCACAGGACTAGTGAGATGGCTCAGCCAGGAAAAAACGCTGACCCTCAATGCTGACAACCTGAGTTCAATCCTCAGGACTCACATGGTAGGATGGGAAATCTGGGCCGTCTTCTGACCTTCATGTGCATGGTGCTCACACATGCATGTGCAACACACACACACACACACACACACACACACACACACACACACACACACACGTGCACATTCACACATAATTTTTTTTGTTTCCACCAAAAAAAGAAAAAAACGCCATGCATGTCTCTTTAGGGCTGGAAGAATGTTCATGCTTTCTGCTTTGTAGTGACTCTACTAGAGAGGAAAGGAACCCTCGATGCCACAGTGGAGGAAAGGACAGCTACAAGTGGATGTCACCGCTGACTAGTCTCGAAGGTCAAATCTGCCCAGCAGAGCACTCTACGGTTGTTCCACACATGTGCTCCCTCCTTCAGCACCTAAAATGTAACCAACACAATTAAAAAACAAAAATTTTCAAATATATTTACTTTCATTTTAAGCCGAATGTGGCTACTGGCTATCACATTGGACTGTACAGATAGAGATTATAAATAGAGGCCTGCATCACTCATCCCTTTGACTAGAGTTACCAAGCATGCCCATAAATCATTGTCATAAAGACCCTTGCCTGGTCAGCTCCTCTTTTTGTATGTGTGGAAACCAGAGGTTGACAGTGTCTTCCTCTATTACTAGGATCTCTCACTGAACCTGGAGCTCACCAATTCCGTTAGACCAGCTTGCCAGAAAGCCCCA